CCTCAGCCTCCCAAAGGCGCGGGATTACAGGCTGAGCCGCTGAGACACCGAGCCCGGTTTAGTCTTTTTTTTTTTAGTCTGGGTCTCACTCTGTCACCCAGGCTGGCATGCAGCAGCACAATCACGATGATCACAACTCATGGCAGCCTTGACCTCCTGGGCTCAGGTGATCCTTCCACCCCAGCATGCTGAGTAGCTGAGACCACAGGCGTGCGCCATCATCCCTGGTTTATTTTTTAATTCTTTTTAGAGATGAGGTTTTGCTATGTTGCCCAGGCTGGTCCTGAACTCCTGGGCTCAAGCAATCCACCTGCGCCGTCCTCCCAAAGTGCTGGGGTTACAGGCACCAGACACCATGCCGGGCCTAATAATCTGTTTTTTAAAAAACAACTTTATTTGTTGCTTTCTATAAAATGAAGTCCACTGGCTCACCTGTGCATATAACATATATACCAATTTGCAACAGTTTCAAAACTTAGCACATATAGAGAGGAAAAGCTTATGCAATTATGTGGGTTTATTTACTGGAGAGCAAAAGCAAATTATGAAATCTTTCTTTAGCATGGAAATTCTTGTTTACCACTTTTCAGGGTTGCTAATGGGTTTTACACCTGCACATTTTGAACTATATTAATGGTGTGAAAGTTGTGGGGAACTAATTGTCTCTGGTGAGAAGGTACAGGTGCAGACATAATGAACAGTAGCAGATTACTCTTCAAAACCACCCACCTATTAATGTAAAGAATCATCTGACAATGCATCACTGTTTGTCATTTGTGTGTGCATTTTTCTTTTTAAGTACTAGAGCAAGTTGTTTCTTACAGGGGATTTTTAAAGCAGTGACAACAAATCAGTCTGTCCTTTCACTCAGCAAAAATATATACCAAGTGACTATTGTGTTTCGGGTACTGCAGTGTAACAAATGGATAAACTCAATATTAATAAGAAGAGGCAAGATGATTCTATAAACCAAAGGAGAAAAGAATGGGTTTATTAAGAGACTTAAGATAATGTTCTCAGGCAGACAATCAAAGGCTTACATCTGGCTGTTAGAAAACATGAGGGGGTAGATAGAAGCCATTGGTATCCAAGCCAGCTGTCTACTCATTCAGATAATTAGCGATAATAAATCATGTTTTAAGTGATCAGAGAATGATAATTACTGAACATTCTATGGCTCATATCACTAAATATATTTGCAAGGTTGTATACTATATTAGAAAAACATATTTTTCTGCTGAATTACTCAAAGAATGAAACATGTATACACACATCAATATAAATTATGGACAAATAGCTAATGTCTATATCTGGGTTATATAGGCATGAAATTCACAAATAGTGGGTCTTCTCATCTACTTTCACAGTTAGCTGAGTCCTTCTGCTTACATGAGAATTGTCAGTCCAGGAAAACTTGCCCTGAGTTTGACACCCAGTTCTCAATTATAAGACTTCTAAGATTTAACCTATCCATAGAACACAAAAAATTTTTTGAAAAAAAAAAGAATATAATACAGTTAATCCTATATGCATAAAGATTTGCAAACCTTATACAGCACAGATTCTGAGGTGGTACTCTGGAATGTCCTTTTGTGGGGTAGACATAGGTCGGTCTACCTCTGATGATGGTCACATTCCAGGTCATGAATGAGAGGAAAGACTGTATCACTGGTGGGCTAGTACTTTAATGACATCCACCACTGGGTGCATGTGTATGAAGTGAACTTGGGTGTGGCCTCCTGGGCCACATAGTTAGGGATTATCTGATATATGCTATATGTCACCTAAAGCTCCAAACTCTAAATTCCTCTGGTATTAATGAAAGTATAATACAATATATGCTTGAAAATGTTAACAATCACTCTGCTTCTAAATTCATTTTGATTTCAATTAAAAAGGTGAATTCATTTGATCTTAAAATAATTTTATTTGTAAAAAGATCTAAGATAGTTTGTAGATTCTGCAGCCTAACAGAGAAGAAACATTCTCTTTGTCAATATTTAAGAGATAAGTACTTAAAAGTGTTTCAATGAGTCTTTGGGCTATTGCTATGTTACTGTAAATTGTTAGCCTTGTATGTACACACATAGATAAGTCTAAAATCTGAAAATGGAACTAATTATATGATTTTAATTTATAAAGATAAACATAAAAAATATACATCACAAAAATAAAAACTCAAATGAAAATGTGCTTTACAAAAAAAAAAAAAAAAAAATGAGACTTACCCATTGACTACCAAACTGGATCATGCCATGAGGGGAAAAAATTATGAAAGAGAACATGAGGGAAGAATAAAGAAATGATGAAAACATAATTACAATTAGAAAAAAATGCAACAAAATGTCAACTTAAACAGATAATCTAAGACAAACAAATATATTTTCACTTAGTCACCACTCTCAACAAAAATAAATCATAGGGTAAGATGAAAATGTATTTCTGAATATAAAACAAAAAATAAATAAAATGGAAACAATGAGATACTTACTGGTAAGAACTAGGTCTAGATGTTTAAGTATGTTTCTACCTGATCTTTACAAAATGGAAACTTTTAGATTTACCATTTATTTGATTTGGCAATCCCACTACTTGGTATCTACCCAAAGAAACAGAGGTCATCACACAAAAAGACACCTTCACTCCTATGTTCATCACAGCACAATTCACAATTGCAAAGATGTGGAATCAACATAAATGCACATCAAATGATCAGTAGATAATTAAAATGTGGTACATATTCACCAAGCAATACTATTCAACCATGAAGAAAAATGAAATAATGTTTTTTGCAGCAACTTTGTTGGAATAGGAGATCATCATCCTAAGTAATGCAGGAATGGAAAATCAAATGTTTACTTATAAGTGGGAGCTAAACCAAGAAACTGTAAGAGCATATAGCATGCCATATTGGACACTGAAGCCTTAGAAGTAGAGGGTGGAAGAGGGTAGGGATGAAAAAAATCATCTATCGGGTAAAATGTGCACAGAAGGAGGTAGGGGGTACACTTAAAGTCCAGACTACAATGCATACATATAACAAAAAAACTATTCGCATCCCCAAAGACACTGAACTAAACATTTTAAAAAAATAATAAAAATAAATGAACAACAAAAAACCAGAAACTTTTGTGTAAATATTTCATATGTCATTTTTTTTTTTTTTTTTTTTTTTTTTGGTGGCTGACTCTGATGGATGCAAACTCTGGGCACTCTAGATTTGTATAAACAAAGCAGGTAGCTTTCTCATTTGCTTGTAAAAAGCAAGGTTCATGTAAATACACAACACCTAAACTCTTAAGAGGGATATCTGAAATTCAGTGACCCCTTGTAAAATTGTAGGCAGTATTTATATAAGTAAAGAGAGACCAACATGAGCAAGGGATAAAGGGCATTCTAGTATTAAAGATCAAACATTTGGTGTTGGAGAACTTGACCTTTTCAAATCTATCAAGAGAGTATCTTGAGGTAAGGAAGCAGCATCCTCGCCTGCCAGGCCACCCTGAGCTGCATTCGCCGTGTGTTACATTCTACTTACCTCTTGTCCTCCATCCAGGGCACAGAGTTTGGTGCTTTGTTTTTTGGCATCTACTAATACGTTAAACATAGTACACACGGAAGCTGGGATGCGCAAGTCAGTTGTTTTGCTTGCCTTTTGCAGCTTGAGTTCAAATGCACTTCTTGTTCTAGTTATTAAAACATGAATTCAGAGTAAGAAATTCTGACATACATCTCACCCATTTTGTAAGAGTGAAATCAACACTACAAGATGCTAATTTAAAACATGCAAATAAGAAAAAAGCAGAGTGGCAGGACTTGGGAGTCAGAGGGTGGGCCACTCTTCTTTTCGGGTGTCTTAAAGGAAAGATCTGATTATGATGTTTTATATTAACTTTTACCTCATAAGTCACTCAGACCATACTGCATCCCAAATTAAGCTTTTTTGTTATAGCTAATGTATCACATTTAATGGAAAAACCTCATAGTTTCACTTAACTGCCTGAATTAATTTCCAGATAGAAAAACCAAATGTTTCTCTGCATTAAAACGGAACAAATCCTTTTTGTGAAAGCTCGTGGAAAAACACACACATACACATACACACACACACACAAGTCCAGAAAACTCTAAAATATGATGATCAATGTACAACAGAGAATGTGAAATTATTTATGTCATTTACAATCTCTTTCAAATATCTATAATTGCAGATAGGTTTCTGAAAGAAACTGCATAATGGGAAATTTGTAAATGGTTTTGTGCCAAAGTATCCTAAGAACATCCGCAGACTTGTGACATCAGAATCTAATATGACTTTTAAATTATTATTATTTTTAATTTTTAGAGACAAAGTCTCACTCCATGATAGAATGCAGTGGCATGGTCCTGGCTCACCTGTCTTGAACTCCTGGGCTTAGGTAATCCTCCTGCCTCAGGCTACTAAGTAGCTGGGACTACAGGCATGTGCCACCATGTCTAACTAATTTTTTTATCTTTATAGAGAAGGAGCCTCACTTTGTCGCCCAAGCCGGTTTCAAACTCCTGGTCCAAAGTGATTCTCCTGCCTCAGCCTTCCAAAGTACTGGGATTACAGCTACCACACCCGGTTTCAAAAACAATCTTTTAAAAACATTACATAATCTTATTCTTGGTTTTGCCTTTAGGAGCCACTGAACATTACTTTAAAGATAAAATTTTTCTTGGTTTAAAGAACTCAGAAATATTCAATTGTCCCAATCAGTGTTTGGCTGTTTTTCTAATACGCTGCCTAACCTTGTTCTTGTATATATCATGAACAAGGGCAATGGAAAAAAAAAAATGCTTGACTGATTTGGATGCAATGCTGATTTTGTAAGAACTATTAAAAAAATGAAAGCACACTTGGAAGAATCCAAAGCCTCATAACTTATTTCTGGTTAAGTTCTAGAGAATGTAAACAGATACTTGGAACACATCTGATACAGTCAGAAAATTCCAGAAAATAGTGAGTAATCCCAGACGACTGATGGTGCTGATCATATTTTGAGTCTGCCATGCCATTTCACAGCACACAGACACAGTACATAATGCATAAAGAACCTAACAGACCTTTTCCATATGTCTCAGGAGATACTTACCACCTTGGGAATTTAAAACACAGTATTCCCAGAGAGATACCAGTAAGCACAAAATAAATCATTAATATGGTATGGGAGACCAATGGCTGGGAGACCTAAAAAAAATATCCAGCCAATTTCATCAGTTACTTGGGTCTCCAGAATTTAGTCAAGAGAACCTAATGTCCATTACATTTTGGAATAGCAGTGCATATTGAAACCTTTTCTGTGACAATAATATCACAAGCACTTGGTGAAAAGTAGTATTTTGGGTATTGGCATATTAAGCAGGAATTTGAAAATACATGACTACCTTTTGACACAGGCCTCTATCATATCACTGGCCATTAGTTTAAGTCTTTGTTCTAAGTGGTGGGCAAATTCTTGTTCTGGCCAGTGTAGATCAAAGACAAACATTTGCAGCGCATCCAGTTTCCAGAACAGGTCTTCTGATGTTGCTGAGCCATTCCTAGAATAAACAGGAAAAATGAAGAACACCATGAACTCCCACTGTTAACTGTATGGACCACCAATACATTGTTTTTTCCTTTCTGTACCAACTGCGATCAGTGAAGAAACTACCACGTAAAATCTCTAGTGATCCAATTTTTTTTGTTCAGTCTTCTAATTCTTCTCTTATAGTTCTCAATGAAGAAAGGCAAGGAGAACAAGATAGAAATAATCATAATAGCAAGGTTTCCAAAAAAAAAAGAGGTAAGATGGATAAGGATATTTTAATAAGGAAAAAATCAAATTGTATACATAAGAAACAATCTTTTAAATGTTCTTTGCCACTCTCTAGGATAAACACATAAAGTTTCTCTTAGAAATACTGAAAAGTATGCTTTGTGCATGAAAATCCATACGAAAGCAACTAGTAGCTTCGACCTTTTATTCATGCATATGTGCCTCTGTCATCATGGTAGCTTCTATCTGCAGGTGTGTAGCATATAGGGCTTTTAAATTTCTCAATTACAGGTAGAGGTGAAACAGGAACTAGAAATAAAATGGGATAGGTAGGGAAGCAAATCTTTATTTTTATTTTGTGTCTTTTCTGGCTTATAATTAAGAGTCCAACTTTGTACAAGGTATGGTCTGACAGAGAAATAACATTCAGAGTACCCTTAAAATTGGAGCAAAATCATGTATTTCATGTCCTTATATCTAACTGTAAAGCAAGATTAGCAAATCTTGGCATTCACTACTATGATAAAATCAGTCTAAGGCAGCGGTCTCCAACCTTTTTGGCATCAAGGACCAGTTTCATGGAAGGTAATTTTTCCAGGGACGGGGGTGGGGGGTATGCGCAGTCAAACCTCACTGTAAGTGTTAACTTGTATCTGCAGCTGCTCATATGGAGCACACAACCTAGATCCCTGCATGCCCAGTTCACAATAGGATTTGCTGCTCCTATGAGAATCTAATGCCAGTGCTGGTCTGACAGTAGACGGAGCTCCACTGGCTAGTCACTCACGAACTGTGCCACCCGGTTCCTAACAGACCATAGACTGGTATCGTTCTGCAACCCTAGGGGCTGGGGACCCCTGCCCTAGGGGGTTGTGCTATCATCCCATTTGTGAAGGTAATTTATAGTAGAAAAGTATAATAGTTGGGTAGAGGATAATGCTATTACTTTCCATTATGCAAGTACAAAGACTAATACAGAAACAGATGCTTTGAAAATAGAATATTCCTACATAAAAATACACTGAAACTTAACTGAAAAACAGCACAAAAGCAAAAGAAAAAATAAAAGCTACTGTGGAATTCATTTGTCCTCAGCTTTCCAACAATTGCTTCAAATATACTAACCTAAAACCTATATTTTTAGTTTGCAAAAGAAAATTAAAGAAATAAAATAAACTCACTTATCACAAGGGCATAGTGGAAAACGTTTATAAAAAATAAAATTGTTTTTAAGTAACCACATTGTTTAGCTAAATATATCTTAATTAACCAGCTTTTAAAAAATCACCTCTTGCACTGGCTAATTAAAAGCTTATTTCCTCACTCACCCTGGCCCCAGCATCTCAGCTTTCCTCCTCCCGTTCTGTCAGTAATGCCTCCTGACCTCCCTGTCTAGCCAAGATGCCCTGGAGTTTAGTTCTCAAGGGACCAATCACAGCAGAGTAGTGAACATTTCCCACAGCACTCGACTCACCTAATATCTCCTCACCTTAATATTCAGTGCCTCAAACGTACCATTAAATAAGAGAACCAGATAATGCCATGCTGACACTACTGTGAAAATGTCTGAAAAACATTACCTTTACTTCTCCTTTGCCATATGTATAATAAAAATAAGAGAAAAAAAAACACATTGAAAATCTCCCTATGCATAGAGCACAGTTTGGTAGATTAGAGGTCCTATGTTTTAAGAGTAATTGAATACAATTGGCAAGAAGCCAATTTGCTTCTTACACAATTTTTTTTACTTTGGAAATATAACTATTTGAAATGTATGTACTCTTTGACAGCACAATGACAGTAAAAGCCATCGTCAAAGCAAAATCTCAAATAGTAAAGGCAAATTCTATTAAAAACATTCTCATAATATGTGATAGTTAAATTTTCATACAGAATATGGATATATTTTTCATCTGTATGATGCTATGGTAAGATTCTAAACAATAAATGTGTCTAATTGGAAATGTAATTAAGATAACAAGTGTTTGTTATAATTAGATAGATACATGAAAAAAAGTAAATAGGGCTATCTCTGGAGTTGGTGCATATAACCTGCAATTTACTCAGAGCTTTCTCATTTTATAATTATTTCTAATCAGTAACCTATTCCTAAAGGTATTATTAACAGATTAAAGAAATCAAACGTGAATAATGGACTCTGAGACAGTTTCCCAAAAATGCCTGCAGGAAACTTACCTTACTGGCATTCATTTCCAGAGCTAAAAAACCCAAAATGAAAATGAAGATTTGATAGACAGAGATGTGAAGGCACACCTCTTAACATGATCTATGTGTTAGCAGGTAAGGATGTAGCTTCAAACTCATGGTTACTTTTAAATTATTTTTTAAAGTAGTATTTTAATCAGTAGTATTTTAAATTCCTTATATCAAATAGAAATGTTTATTGTTATGCAAGTTTCAATTTCAAAAAACAAATTGCAATAACATAACATTATGAGTAATCTTGGGCACCTTAACAAAAAACCTAATGTTGATAACTTTGGCAGGTAAAGATAATAGTAATCAACTTGTGGAACACATTTAAAAATATATATACACCAAGAATGGTGAAAGTACAACCGCTTTATTTATAAATCCCCAATTTGCTGTGATTCCTGTCCTGAGATTCAGATAATTTTGAAAAAATATTCAATAATAAGGGATTCAGAGTTCACAGAAATCTCAAAGCTAATAAAATAATAATAACAAAAAACTAAATTTCCTAGGGTAATGAACACAATAGTGTTCTTGGTTAAAATTAGGGTGTTAAATAGATAAGGAATGAGGAAGAGGAGGAGCTAAATTTTATTTGAAAAGCACAAAAGAATCATAGACTTAGAAAGGTTCCTTACTTTTCCTAGGTAAATCCCAAATACACACAGACACCACGTTACACGTTATAATGGCCCAAGACATTTGCCTATTAAAAAAATCACATGTAACATAATAGTATCTTGATGAGTTTTATGAATATAGTGATGATGCTTAACTTGGAGAGATCTTGCCAAATTCCTTTGCAAACTATGGTTCTCTTTCTTGTTTTCCTCTCTTCTTAATTGTGTGCACCCTTGACTGGGTATTGATGGTGCAAAAGGTAGAAAGGTATAAATTAATGGTAGAAATGAATTCTTAATAAATAAAAACTATTTTTTCTTCTAATTATTATTTTTTCCAGCGGGTTTTATATGAGATCTTGGGCAAAGCACGTAACTGTCTGAGTTTTTCCATTCATACTAGTACTATTACTTAGTTTTGATTGTTGTGTGGCTCATAGTTTTAAAGACTACATGAAGCCTAATAATTAAGTTCGCAAACTCATCTTAGAAAAAGTGCTACATTCCTCATTGCTGAATATCACTATGGTCACCATCGAAATTTTCCCCTTGGGAGGGTATGCACTGATGCCAGCATCTAGTCCACTCATCAAAGCAATTTTGCAACTCTTTTTTTGGAATGGCCTTCAGAGCTGTCATCACATTACCCTCAATGTCCTGAATGTCATCAAAATGTCTTCCTTTCAATATTTTCTTTATCTTTGGGTAAAGAAAAAAGTCATTGGGGGCCAAATCAGGTGAGTAGAGAGAGTGTTCCAATACAGTTATTTATTTACTGCCTAAAAACTCCCTCACAGACAGTGCTGTATGAGCTGGTGCACTGTTGTGTTGCAAGAACTCCTTTGGGATCCTTTTTGCACACAGCTTTCTTCCGCCAAGGTTTTCATTTGAGATTTTCCTGTTTCTCTATTGATGTTTATTTGGTCTGGTATGCTTCTCACAGTCAGTCGACAATTTTGACATGCAATCTAGTGAATTTTTGTAATGTTTTCATCAGTTCTGTTCGTTACTGGCTATCCTGATCTCACTTCATCAGTGATGATTTCTCTCCCCTCAGAAGAATGTTTAATCCATTCATACACTGCTGTTTTCTTCATGGTAATATCCCCATAAACTTGAACTAACATGTCCCTGATTTCACTTCCACTCTTGTTAAGTTTAACAAGAAATTCAATAATTTGTTTTTTATTCTAATTCAAACTCCAACATTCTCGCAATGACAGCTCTGATGGCCACTCCAGAAAAAAGAGTTCCAAAACTGCTTCAGTGGGTGGACTAGGCACTGGCATTGGTGCATTGCTTCCCAAAGGGAGCACTTCAAAGGTGACCATAGTACTATTCAACAATGAGGTATATAGCATTTTTTTCTAGGATGAGTTTGCAAACTTAATTGTCAGAGTTATAAATAATGTAGAGTTATAAATAATGATGATGATGGATGATAGTAATACTCATAGTAAATAACAAGGCAGAGTAGTAGTAATTATCATTTTTTGAAAGCCTAGGCTATGCCAGACAGTTTTGAGTAGTTAATAAACAAAATTTGCCCAATTTCTCAAAACAAGTAAGATTCAGGAAAAGCTGGATTCATATTTTGCCTCTGAATTTCACTTGCTGTGAGATACAAATTTTTTTTCTTAACTTCCTTGTAATTGAGTTTCCCTAACTGTAAAATGGGGATAATGACACGTACCTCAGAGGGTTGTATACAGATTAAATGAGATAAAGAGCTTGGCACCGTACCGGAAACACAGCAAATTCTGAATAAAGGACAGCTATTTTTTGTTCTAATTATTATTCTTTCCAGCTCATTTCATATGAGATCTTGGGCAAAACATGTAACTGCCTGTCTGAGTATTCCCATTTGTAAACTAGTACTATTACTTAGTTCTGATTGCTGTGTGGCTCATAGTTTTAAAAACGATATAGTTATAATGATGATAGATGACAGTAATAATAATAACAAGGTACAGTAGCAGTAACTATCATTTGTTGAAAGCCCAGGACATGCCAAGCACTGATAGTTTTTTCAGTCCTTATAAAAATATCTTTAAATGAGGTGTAACCATTTCAGAGTTGAGGAAACTGAGGCTGAAAGGATTTAAAATTATGCTGTAAGATCTAAATTCAGGCCTGATCGATTTCAAAGTTCATGCCCTTTTGCTTTAATGGCTCTTAGTTACTGCATCTGCAAGAGGTAGGTTCTTCACAATGTGTAGTTAATAAATATGGTTTTTAAGGATATAAAGATTATTTTAAAATAACAATGTGTACTAAATGATATATTAAAAAAAATAGAAGAACTTCCTGGTGTTGGCAAAGAAAGGACAATCACCTCCCTGAAAGGGGCAATAACTGTTTCTTTAAAATGAGACTAAGATAAAAAGAGAAAACAATGTTCTTGAAACCGTTCTTCCAATGGTCTTTTGCATATACAAGGTAAGTCACATGGGCAGTAGTAAAGCTGTAGCTGACTAAGAATCCTTGAAATACTTTTTAGCACATTGACTGTCTACATAAGGAGAACTCTGGTTATAATCCCTCAGGCTACAGTCTATAACCCAGATCAAAAAATGACCCTTGCCCCACAGATTACATTTGAGTGACATCAGACCAGTGTTTTTTTTTCTTCTTGACACCACTTATCATAGATATGCTAAGCTTAGCTGACTAGCTTAAAAAGCTCAAACAAATAAACCCAAAAGCTGTATTCCTCAACCAACAACGATAAATGCCATGCAATCTAAACACATCTGCACAGAACACAGGCCAGGCCATGCACTTGCTAACACACCACCAGGAAATAAGTGAGGAATACACACGTGGACTCATATAAAGAAGCCATCCATGAAGGAGTAGAAATGTTAGGAATCTGTGGAAGATTAAGAGGCAGACTTGGAACTTTTGGAAGAGCTACATTGGGAAGACTGTTGGCGATATTCCTGTAAAGAAACAAACAACGTGGGAAGGGACCACTATAAGCAATAACTACAGATGGCCATGTGTAAAGTCATAAGGTCAGGATTGAAGAGGCAGGTGCTCTATGGACACTGAGTGAGATACCTACTTGACAGGCTGCCATGTCTCTTGCTCAAAACCTCTGTGAATTGACTGGGCGATGGAGGACTCCATGAGATCGACGTAGCGGACAACCAAAGGCACAAAGATTTCTTGCAAATGTTTGTGAAATTTTCCATTACACAAAAGTGCTGAAATAGTCAAGCAGAGATAAGATCACACATTTGGAAAATACAGCCAAAAAAACCTTTTTCTGAAAGAGTCTGACATAGAAGAACTGATAAAATGTGAATAATGGATGTTACTTCCCATGGTGTAGTCATACAATAGAAATTGATCAGAAAGTATAATTAGCCTTCTATATTTGGTTGTCAAGATACAAATAGATTATATCTCTATAAAATGATACATGATTTTTAAAATTTATTTCCTAAGTGGTTTAACACAAATGCACATGACTGCTTGCTAGAAATTCAAGGGAGCTGCCCACTCTCCTGAAGCTTCTGACACCTGTAAATGTAGCAATTAAGGAGCCAGTTATAATCTCTGTGCTATGCTGTGTGTTACAGGGAAGCTAAACCAGTTAAATTCTAAGAGGTAAGCTTAATGACTACTAAAAGCTACACTAGTTTATTTTACTAGGAGGGTGACTGTAACTTTGGGACTATCTACTCTGATTCACGAACGTTTCAGTTATTTGTGGACTTTGTTTTCTTTTAATTTTTATTTTAAAGATGTGGGGCAAAATTCAGGATTAGCAATACAAATGGTCATTGCACAGGTAAAATTTGGGCCTCACTTTGGTCCCCACATCACCTGGTTTGAGATCAGGTTCCCTTATTGATGAATTGGGCCTCCCGGTTCCCTCCCCTGGCAGTTTTTCACATACTGCCAATCCCTTTAATACACTCACTAGTATTATGATAATTGTTCAGTGTCTTCTTATGAGTGAGAACATGAGGTATTCAGTTCTTTGTTTCTGTGATAGATCATTGAATATTATAGACTCTAAATCCATTCAACTTGCAACATAATTTAGCACATCTGTATTTAAAAACAGTCAGCATATCACATGCATTTCTCAGTTTTCGATTTGTCTTTAGTGAATTGTATTATGGAGCATCCCACCTAAAGCAGTTGCATAAGTCTTATAATCCTTGTTACTGGGACAAGACTGCTTTTTTATTTATTTATCTATTTATTTGCTTGTTTGTTTGTTTGTTTATTTTTTTTTTTTGAGTTGGAGTCCCACTCGGTCGCCCAGACTGGAGTGCAGTGGCTGCTCCCGGCCACCGCAGCCTCGCCTGCTGGGCTCCGGCGATCCTTCCGCCTCAGCCTTCCGAGTAGCCGGAATTACAGGCATGCGCTACCACGCCCGGCTGATTTTTTGATTTATTGTAGAGATGAGGTCTCGCTGCCCAGGCGGGTCTCGAACCCGCGGGCTCAGGCAATCCACTCACCTCAGCCTCCCAAAGGCGCGGGATTACAGGCTGAGCCACTGAACCCGGCTAAGACTGCTTTTTTTAAAAAAAAATTTTTAGGAGATGGACGGTTTCTATGCACAGGATACAAGTTCATTAAAACATAGGGCAGTATGTGCCTAAGTTGCACCATGAAAGACTAGAGAATCTATAGGAAAAGAGTAAATAATACAAAGTAATATTCAATAAAGAATGTGTACGTTTTTGGGTGCTGGGACTATAGATTGAAAATGTTTCTCAAATGAATACATCCTAAACCCAGGTGTGACCTTTTTCATGACCCTCAAAGTGAAAATATCCTCATTTAAAAATGTACTCTGCGGTAAGGAAAGGTATTTATGATATGTTAGTTGAGGGAATGACAAAAGAGAATTCCACAGAAGGTTTAAAGGGAAGCTTTTTAGGTAGAGGAAACAGTACAAAAGTTTCAGAAAGGGATACACCGGTGTCCTTCTAGAAAGATGAAAAGGCCAGAGTAACTAGAGCAGAGTGAGGGAGACGTCCATAGAGGGGTCTAGATCTTAGGACAGAGTGAGGACTGTGAGTTCTACTGTGTGTAGTGGGAAGCTTTATTATTTTTATGGTTAAGCAGAGTGACATGATACAATCTTTCTGACTGTTGTGTGGAAAATGAAGTAGGTGGCCAGAAGTGGAAGCAGAGAAGAAAGTTACTGCTCAGTTCTTTGCTTCAGTAGATTTGGTGTAGGATGATGGTGGCTTTGACTGGGGTGGCAGTGGTGGAAGATGGGAAAAAGCCTCTCAATAATTTCATCATTCTAATAACTTTGAATATATATGCTTATAGTTACTAAATCCCTAATTTCTAGCAACTCCAGTAGTACTGTTTGATTAAATACTCACTATGACAATTCTCCACATTATCTTCTTCAGGGCAAAAATATCCTAAAGCCTATGTAGTGTTTTACACCTTGGGCAAGGTATCTGATGTTTACCCTGCTGGCACATATATGAAGAGATCCTTAATATGTTGTTTTATGTGTTTCTGAAATTGGTCAGAGGCAGGACAACTATAGATGCAGAAAGTGGCACAGGAAGTAATTCTAAATTCAGAAGAAAACATACCATTGATTTTTTTTCCTTTACTCTGATATGGTTTAGTATTTTGTGTGGTTAAATAATCTTTTCCTGGTTCATCTATATACTAAAAGATTTCCCATTAAATTGGGAATGATAATCATATTTAATGATAAATGTCTTATTTAGGAAACTAATATTATCTTAATGATGTTTTCATTAGCACATGGAAAAGAGCTGTATTTATTCCTAGAGAGTCAATCATAGAGCTAGAAGGTACTGTATAGTTCAGTAATTTGGTTACTTTTACCAAATGTCACCTAAATAAGGATGCTAAACTTTAAGGATAAAATACTCTCAAACCATCCAACTCATTGTGGTAGACAAATCTAGAAATATACTGAAATCTAAATTTATTGAATCTCTACTTAACTCTCCATCTCTCCTTCCTCCTCCTCTTCCCTAATATTTTTAGAGCGCCAACCACGGTGTTAAGTCCTATATGTGCATTAAGTCATTTAATTAACACAAAACTCTATGAGGGAGAAACTATTTTTTTCAATATTATCAATAAGGAAACCAAGACAAAGAGAATTTCGGACACTCGCCTAAGATAATATAGATCATTAGTCAAAAGAGCCAGGAAATGATGCAAAGCTTATGTCAACCTCTGTAGTTCATAAAGCCGCCATTCCTCACATCTGACATCCAATTAATAATCGAGACCTGTGTGTTTTATATCCTTAATATCTTTCTAATATGCCTCCTTCCTCTACTGTCTGTCTATCCATCCAATTATCCAGCTAGTCAGTCATCCATCCAACCTAACATCAACATCTTTTAAGACAGAGAAATCTAAATGTTTTAGGTAACAAAAAAATCTTGCAAATGACAAAAATATTGCATCATATTTTAGGTGCCTTAAGTTTCTGAAATTAGAATTTTGAAAAAACTCAGAATATGAAAAAGTCAAAAGGTTGAACAAAACTATTATTCAGTTAATATGAAAATGAAGTAACACTGAAAAACTCGATGGGCTCATAATCTTCATTGAAAGCTGGAAGGTTTTACATTGCTATATAGCAAACGATACATCCAAGCCTTAATTTATATAGCCTTTCATTAAAAAATACTGTGCAAAGAAACTTAGGCTTACTATCTCAATGGATACTGTTAAGGGTTGTCATATTGTTATTGTTGTCTCTCTCTGTCACCCAGGCTGGAGTGCAGTGGCATGATCATGGCTCACTGCAGCCTTGACCACCTGGGCTCAGGTGATCTTTCTGCCTCAGCCTCCCAAGTAGCTGGGACTACAGGCATGTGCTACTATGTCCAGATATTTTTTTGTTTTTTTTTTTTGTAGTGACGAGGTCTTGCTACGCTGCCCAGGTTGGTCTCAACCTCCTGGGTTCAAGCAATCTTCCTGCCTCGGATGGGAGAGGGAGTGGAGAAATAATGACAACATTCACAAAGAGGGGAGAAGAAAGGAAAGACGATCCTTGGTTTCAAAGGGCAGAGCTGCAGGGATGATAGGCATGAGCCACTGTGCCTGACTGTTGTCATTATATTTAACCACCATAAGAACAAAACACATGTTCATGTAAAAATTACTACATTTATAAATGACCACTCTACCTCATCAATTTAAATGTTACTTTATTAAACACTCAAAGATTAAGTGTGTTGACAATGAAGTCATATTTAGTATGTTAAAATGAAGAAGCATATTTTAAAAATCACCTTCAATATTGTTATTAAATGTGATAATGATTCTAAGATTAAGTGGTAGTTGACTCAAACGTATTTCTAGCAAGAAGCCTCTTTTTAGATACATTTGAGAAGCACTTGATTAATTGTCTTGCTAAATAAACTGGCTTCTCATCTTGCATTACCATTCTTGGAGCTAAAGTAGAGAATGTCCACTTGATTACTACACCAGCAACACGGAAGTTGTGTCCCAAGACTTTCCTCCACTCTAACATCCAACCGGTTACCAAGATCTGTGTATTTTATATCCTTAATATCTTTTGACTATATCTCTTTCCTCCCTTCATCTAGCACTGCTGTTGCACTAGATCAGCTATCTTCTGTCTTGACTAACGCAATAATCTCCGAACTGGTCTTCAGGCTCCTATTTTTCACTCTGCCAATCCATCTTCTCAGGATCTCAAACAGAGGGGCTTGCTAAAATATAAAATTAAGAATATCACTCCTGGCTGGACTCGGTGGCTCAGCCTGTAATCCCGCGCTTTGGGAGGCTGAGGAGAGTGGATTGCCTGAGCCCGCAGGTTTGAGACCCGTCTGGGCAACTTGGCAAGACCTCATCTCTACAGTAAATCAAAAAATTAGCCAGGCGTGGTACGCGCGCCTGTAGTTCCAGCTACTTGGAAGGCTGAGGCAGACGGATCAATGGAGCCCAGCAGGTGGAGGATGCAGTGGCCAGGAGTGGCCACTGCACTTCAGTCTGAACGACAGAGTGAGACTCCAACTCAAAAAAAAAAAAAGAATATCACTCCTAACAACTATATTCCTTTTGTGGGTGATCATGACAGTCTCCAAAAGCCTTAGTATGTTGTGAAAGATTTCTGAGATCTGTCTTAAAATGAACTATTTCCAGTTCATTTCTGTTGCCTTGCCTTTCATTTCCTGGGGTGTAGTCACAGTGATTTCATGAT